CGTCTCGATATTGGTCTTGACCTGGTCGATCTCCTCGCGCACGCCAGTCATCTGCGTGTTGAAGGACGAGGATATCGGTCATCTGCTTCAGCATGGCCTGGTGCTGTTCCTGCCTGTGTTTCAGCGTCGCCTGGCCTCGTTCCTTCATGAGGTCCTGAACCATGGTGCGGAACTCTGCGCTGCCAGCCGCTGGAGACCTCCATCGTCTCTTCTCCCCAGTGGACTTCTGCGCGCGGCGACCAACCATGGCGGCTGCCTCTGCCTGAGGTGCGATAAGTTCCCGCTTGGGCTCGACACCCGAGATGGCCTCTACAAGAGAGGCCGCCCGCTCAAACACAAATGCTTGAGCCAAAATGGCAATGAAGGGAGGATGCGGAGGAGGAGTGGAGTGGGGCAAAGCGAGACACGGTCGAGCGGGCCCCCCGCGCCCGCCGCTCGCGCCCAACCGGTCGCGGCCCGCCGCGAGCGAGGCGGCGCGCCCCGGCGCGGCGCAGGGCCGAGGGCCTGCGGCCTGGCTGGCGGCCCGCCGCGCGGGCGTCCAGGCCTGGCCGCCTCAGCCGCGCCGCCCGCGGCAGGCTGGCGGCGGCCGCGCCGCCCGCCGCACCAGCTCGCCGAAGGACATGGCGGGCTGCAGCGGGCGGGCGGGGCGGCTGCACTGGCGGCCGCGCCGACCCGCGCGCGCGGGCCGCGTCCGGCGTCGCGGCGCAGGTCGGCAGCTCCAGCAGTAGCCCCGTTCGTGGAGCCTGGGCCCTCGGCCGCCTCGGGCTGGCCCCTCGACGAGCTGCCACTGCTCCAGCTCGAGGTCGGGGATGACGTCGGCCACAGCGTTGGAGACGACGTCGGGCTCGACGTCGAGGTCCGCCCTACCCTCACTTCTCCAGCGCGTCGTCGGGGGCCACGAAGGCCTCGGCGTCGGGACCGGCGTCGAGCTCGGCGCCGAGGTCCGCCCTGGGCGTGGCGGTGGCTGCCGTGAGCAGCGAGCTCGCGATGCGAGCCCGCCTTGCAGCCGAGCTAGGCTGGTCGCAGCTCAGCCACCTGTGAAACGGTGCGCTGCTCGGCTCACTGGGCCCAGCAGCGGACGAGGCATCCGCGGCTACGGAAGCCGCGCCGCTCCTCGGGTGAGCAGTGTCAGCGAGGGCAGCCATTGCCAGCCCATCCTCCGAAGCCGCCGGCCCGTCTTGCTGGGAACCCATGGCCTCGCTGCAGCGCCCTGCGCCAGCCGCGCCTGCACTTCCCTCTGCGGCCCGCCCAGTAGCGCCTCGGCCCTCGGCGGCGGCGCGGCGCGCGATGGCCGCAGCGGGGTGCCTGATGCGCTCCGTGTCCAGCGCGATGTAGCCGCCGTCCGCGATGGTGTCCGAGGAGTGCTCCAGGGCGAGGGCCAGCACCTCGACGTCCATCCGCTCGATGCTGGACGCTGCGTCGAGCCCCGCGTCACTGCCTGCATCGCCGCGCTCCGACTCGGGCTGGCCACGAGCTCCGACAGCGGGGCCTTCTAGGCTCGGTTCCGAGGCGTGAGCGCTGTGATGGCAGTCCCCGGCATGACTGACCACTGCGCCACGCTCATCGCCTCCCCCAGCGAGGTCGACCCCACCGTCGCGCTCAGCAGCAGGTGAGGCACGCACTTCCGCCGCAGGTCATCCAACGCGCGGTCTGACGCACGAGCCGCGCACCCGCGCGGTGGGCGGCCTCGCGCCACGGGCGCGTCTATGCCTGCCTCCATCAACGGGGATTTCGAGCTGATCTGAGCTCGAACCGTGGACCATGCCGTGGTTCGTGTGCGCCCCCTCGTCATCGTCCGTCTGGATGTCGCCCGTGGAGCGGCCGCGTGGATGCGCCTTCCTGGGGGGGGGGCCTTGGGGCGCCCCCAGAGCCCCCCCCCTGGCCATTGCGCCGCCCCTCGTGGTGATCGGAACCCGTCCGCGCTACCCCTCCAGTAGCGGCGCGCTCTCCGCGCTTCGCGCCAGCGGCAGCGCTGGCGGCAGCCCTCTGGCGAGGGCACGTGGCGCTCGTGGCGCTCGGCGGGCCCGCGGGCATCACGACCTCCACATCGTCCACGTCCAGATCGATGCCGAGCTTGGGCGCGCGTGGCGACGGCGAGCCTGGCAGCCGCAATGGCGCGCCAGGGCTTTGCGAACTGGCGCCTGTGGCGGAGCCTGGTAGCCGCATTGGCGCACCAGGGCCTTGCGATCTGGCGCCAGGGCCCCGCTCGCATCACGAGCGCCCCCGTCGCCCCAACCGTCGCGTGGATGCCCTGCCCCGCCAGCAGCCTGCCGCAACCGCGCGATCACCGGAGGCCCCCCCCTGGCCCCTCGCCCGCGCTGCAGCTGGATGAGCCCAGGGCGCCGCCGTCGTCGACGTCGCGCTCGGCGGTGTACTCGTCGCCGTCGTCGGAACTCGGGGTGACGCCTGCCTTCGACCAAAGTTCTCGCCGCAATCGCTCGAGATGTTCTCGGCCGCCCCTTGGCAATCGGCGAGCAGGCCCCACCCGAGCGCGCGCAACCCTGGCCACGCATAGCAGCCGCATGCGAGACAGGCCCACACGTCCAGGGATACCTGCAGCTGCATCGCATGCGACTCGCGCACCTGCTGGTTACCGATGTGCAACGGGGTGTCGGTTGAGGCAGGACGGGCCCAATCGTCACCGCGCGCCACGAGCCCTGCGCATGCGTTGGCAAGCCACGCTGCTCGACGGGTGCGTCCTGCAGACGCGCGGCAACCCCGACAGCTGACCCCGTCGTCGCGCAGCGCGCGCGTGGAGCTGAAGACGGTGGTCATGCCAATGGAGGGCGGGGCCACGCGTCGGCCAGGACGGCGACGAGGTCGACCGCGGGCCTCGGCGGCTGCCGTGGCATCGATGGTGGCCCTCAATAATCGCCATCGAACCTGGGTCGCGAGCACCTCCGTGGCCAGCAGCTGCTGCCGAACACCGCCGTCAAGTCGCCCTAGATCTGCAGCGTGACCAGCCAGCACGTCGGCGATGGCGCTCCCGCGTCGCACTTCCTGGGGCAGTCATCGTGCTTGCGCCTCCTGAGGCGTGAGGTGCGAGTTCACGTGCTCGACGGTGAAATCGCTCCTAGGGCGGTGCTGAAACGCGCTGCGCGCAGCGAGCCACAGGGCGGCTTCCTGCCCTGCGGCTGCAAGATGCTCGTCGCACCGCTGCCACCACCCCTCGCAGACCGCCACGTTGTCGGTGAAGGAAACCGCGGGGCCGCGCGAGTGGCGGGCTGCCAGCGCCAAAGCCTGAAGCTCGCCACGATGAACCGTTTGTCGCGCGCCTGCGAGAGGGCTCAAGATGGCGCTGTCGACTTCGGTGGCCTCACAACGGACACTGCACGCAGCGACACCCACACGTCGAAGCTGAGGGTGCATCGAGTCGGGCCCGCCGCTGGCGTCGCCGAGCAGCGCGAGGGGGTCGTGCGAGGTGCCGGTACCGAGGCCGTGGTGACCTAGCGCGTCGCCGATGTGGGTCCAGCAGGGCTCGTCGGGAGGAGCTGGGACGCGGGTCCAGCCCGCAGGTAGGACGCCTCGAAGCCAGAAGCAGGGGTTCGCGTCCGCTTCAGCGTGGGCTCTGGCAACGAGGTGGGCGCTGAGGTCGTAGGCCTTAGCCTTAGACCCCTGGTTGGCCTCGCGTGTCAGAGTCTACATCCTATGCAGCGGCGTCTCCACGTCGTGCCCGCACCTGGGGCATATGCAGTCGACCGAATCCTGTGTGCCGAAAGTGTCGGCGACCCGCTCGCCAGGCCATGAGCCGCCAGCTGCATTAGACACCATGAGGGGCGCGAGGTGCTGGTGCTGCTGGGATCCCTCGAGCATCTTCACCATGGCGCGATGGGGGGCCATGTCGGCCCCATGCTGCAGGCCTTCCCCGCACCAGTGAAGGGCGGCGTCGCTCCATAGCTGCTCCTGCACCGAGGCGTCGAATGCGTAGAGCAACTGCTGAGTGGAACCGTCGATGAGCGCCTCCACGTCGGGGAATGTCCAGCGCTCCCATCCGCCTCCAGGGAGATGGCGAACCCACCCGACGAGGAGGAGGAGAAGGAGGAGGATGAGGAGGAGGAGGAGGCGGAGGAAGAGGAGGAGGAGGATGGTGAACTATATGCAAGGGCGGTCGGGTGGCAGAGGGAGGAGGGGGCGGATGGGAGAGGGGGAAGAGAGGCGGTGGGGGCGGTAGCGGTCCGTCGACTTCGACAGGGTAGGTGCGGTGGTCGTGGGCGTGTTCGTCGTGGTGGTGATCCTGGTTGTCGGGGTGGTGGTGGTGGTGGTGGTGGTGGTGGTGGTGGTGGTGGTGGTGGTGGTGGTGGTGGTGGTGGTGGTAGTGGTGGTCGTGGTCGTGGTAGTGGTCGTCGTGGTGGCGGACGTGGTCTCTCTCTCTCTCTCTCTATCCCTCTCATGTTCGCCACTCTCTTTTGTTTTCCTCTCTCTCTCTTTCCCTCTCTCTCCCTCTCTCTCTCTCTCTCTAGATGTCCACCACCGTGCCGTAGGCACTGAATGAAATGTCCTCAATTCCCTGTGGCATCCCTGTACGGAATATTCAGAAAGTTTCCCAACTCAAACTTTGCTTAACAAGTCCGCACATGCTTGTGAAGAATCGGTGGGAACCGGGCTCAGTCATCGCCTGCATTCCCCAGGGTTCCCTGGCTTTGTTTCCATACGCAAGCCTGCCCTGGTTCTCAAGTCTTGTTTCCTGAGTCTTGGGTTCCCTGGTATTGTTCGCCTTCCTTCCTCGGGTTCCTGGGCAAATGTTTTGAGATACGCTCCACAAACCGATCGACCCGCCACGTCTTGCGTGCAGTGTTTGGTGGCCTGGGCATGGGCAAGTTCGCCGAGTGTTTCGGAATGGCAAGGGTCATCATCTCATGGCCAGACAACATGGTGCCCGAAGGTCGAATTGACCGATGGCTATTACCTCGCGTCTGCTCCACCGCTTGCAAATGTGGTATTGTTCTGCCTCGCCCTGCTGAAAAGCTGACACCTCCTCTCCCCTTTTATGGATTGCCAGCCTGCGCGCGTAGACCCAGCCCGCGTCGCCAGCCGCGTCGCCATCTGGGTGCGGCAAAACCTTGTGGCGTCTTTCCGATCACCAAGCCGATCGTAATCCCTGGCGGACCGTATAATCTTTTCCCATCTCCTAACACTGGGTTCATTGTTTTTAGTGCGACGCCTCCGCCACATTCCTGCTTCCTCCTTCCTCCCTTCCTACCTTCCTTCCCGCCCCCTCCCTCTCAACCCACCCATACTCATAATCACTCATCCTCAGACCCATTCGCACTTGGACTCACTAGTACTCAGACTCACCCGTACTCAGAACCAGCCCCATACATACTCGCCCACCCAGGCCCAGCCAACTCATACTGACGCATACTCGCACTCAGCCTCACTGAACTCATATCCGCGCATCAATAGGTTCAGGCTCACGCACACGCAGACCCATTCATGCCTCATGCTCGCACTCACTCACCGTCATGTTCAATCACACTCTGTCTTACACGCGGACACACACAGACACGCGCATATACACACATGTCATGAGCGTCGCAGACTGGGCCAGACCGCAAGTCGTCCAGACGTCCAACGCGCGCGCACGCGCCGGCTAAAAAGTAAGAGAGTCCGCCGGGCCCGCACGGGGCAGTGGCGGGGCAAGGGGGAGCAGCGGCCGCGGCACGGGAACGCCGAGGGGCCTTACGAGAGGGGGACCGCCAGGGGATATGTCGCGAGCCCGTTCGCGGCCCAATTGGTGGGACCCCTCAATTAGAACAGCCGTTTTGGGTGACACGCGTGTCTGTTTTCAGAGCTCCATGATGACTGCGACGTTGGCACGCACCGCACTCTGTTTGTTTGGGAAGTCCGTGGACACCAGAGGCCAGCTTTGGGAGCATGCCGTTCACCACGCTCTGGAACTTCCGAAATCCTGCAGCGGGGCATCCCTTGGGGAGGCTTCGTGGCGACTGGGAGCCCTGAGTGGAACGGGAGGGCTTTGCCGGTCGCCACTCTTTCGGGGCCCCGGAGGCCCGCTGAGGCTGTGCGGCCCCAAGACGGTCCCAGACGCCCCTGGAGGCCCCTGGAGCCGTCTGGGCGGATTCGGTGCCATCCCAGTGGGGGGGCGAGGCTCGACGAGGCCCCCACTGCGTCTTCCACCCACGTGTGCCAGCGGCGTCACGCCGCGAGGCGTCCTGGATCTGGGACTGAACGGGGAAGCGACCACGTGCACTCGAGCGGGGGGGACGAACGTTTGGGGGGGGATCGGCTCAGGGGGTACAATCATCAAGCTGGAAACGGCGATGCGTCACCCATGATCGGCGATAGGCCCCCGATAGCAAATCCGCATGCCACTGGGCATGGTGGACCACCAGGCCCCTATCGGCGATGAATTGGTGACGGGGGGCAGACGGCATCCCCCCTGAGCCTATCGCCCGCAGCGTTGCCCACTGAAAGTCGAGGGCAGGCACTGAAGACCTCCAGCTGCTCCCCGAGCTGCACAGGTGCGAGGAAGCCCTCGCCCGCAGAGGCCCCAGGCGCCCGCGCCACAGGGCGCCTGCTGGCCGGACGAGGAGGCTCCTCCTCCCGTCTGCCCCCCTCCCCCCTCCTCCCGCGGTCATTTGATGCGGATGTTGCTCTTCTCTTTCCTTCCTCCTCCCTCTCCTCCTCCTCCTCCTCCTCCTCCTCCTCCTCCTCCTCCTCCTCCTCCTCCTCTTCCTCCACCTCCTCCTCTTCCTCCTCCTCCTCCAACTCTTCCTCCTCCTCCTCCTCCTCCTCATCATATTCCTCTTCTTCGGTCCTTCGTTCGTCCGTTCGTGGCCTGAAGGACGGAATCTAAATCCCAAACAACTAGAACAGAGAGCAACGATGGAAAAGAGAAAGAGAGATTTTTTTCCCGAAATTTATTATCAGTCAACGACTGTCGGGAGCGGCAGGCGTCAGCCTCCCGCTCAGATGGACGGCACGCGGATGTCGCCGCCGTCCTTCACGCAGTCCACGGGGCAGCCGTGGCCGTCGGTCTGGTGCCTCCTTGCAGCAGTCGATCAAGATCCGTTCGACAACTGCATTCATGGCACAACTCTCTTGCAATAATGAAAGACGAGCTCCCCGTCGTCGGTGGTGTCCGTGTGCTTGACCTGGTGTATCGCCTCCTTCATGCGGATGTTCGTAGTAGTGCCTGGTGTATCTCTTCTGACCTCGGACTTCGTGAACTTGACCTTTGTGTCTCGATTCCATCTCGCACCTGTTCCTGGTGTCCACTCCTTCTTGCGTCTCAGCGACTTGAGTGCGTACCGTGATGCTTGTCCCGCTGGCCATCCTTCGCATTCCTTCAGCATCTTGTGGCTCAGGTGCTTCTCCGCCGTGGCTCCGCATGTCCAGCAGAAGTAGCGCTCCTTGTGCCTTGACCAGCAGATGGCGTGCGTGTGGTGGGATACCTTCCCTTTGAGGACCACGTTGCGATGAGCTCCTTCGTGCCGTTCGTCCTGTTCTCGAGCTTCGCCTTTGCACTTCTGGAGCCACCATCTCGCTGCCTGTGAACGCTGTTTGCGGCCAATGGACTCCTTGCAGCGCTCGCATCTCCACATGCGTCCATCAGGTCGTAGTAGATGGGGCGTGTGCTCGAAGAGGTGCTGGTAGTTCTCCTTCACGTCTTTCTCCTTCTTCCGTTTGGCCTTTGCTTCCGCCTTTTCTTCCCACGTCATCGGCTTCACCCGAGAGAACTGCTCCAAGTACGCCTGGCCGATTCGCGTGCGGACTAAGTGCGATGTAGCCCTGGCCCAGTCGTAGCAGCCCATTTGCGCTTCTGGGATAGCGTGTGATGCCGCCGCTGTCTCTGCCAAGTCGTCGGCTCTGAGATTGCCTCTCCATGCTTCCTCAGGCACTCTTCGTTCACGCGCTTGCTCGATCGTCATGTGGCTCTCGATGTGCCTCACCCTGATAAGTTCTTCGCCTCCTCGGGCCTCGAGTCGCTGTCTGATCTTCTTCCACAGGTCCCCGTGCGCCTTCTTGTATCCTCGCTGTAGAAACCTTTTGCCGTACCAGCCCTTGCATAGGATCTCCGAGTCCGTGTAGAAGGTGAGCTCGCCGTCCGTTGATTGCAGGCAGTCCAGGAACGCCGTGATCTCCGCCCTGTTGTTGCTCTGTCTCGGTCCAGGGAGCGGGCCGCACACTGTAGCCTCCTCCTGCCAGTTGCCGTTCTGGTTGTTCAACACGACCCAGCTCCATCCGCACCTTCTGAATCTTGCATCGTCACCACGTTTTCCTCCGCTTCCATCACCACAGGCAATCTGGCCTTCCGTCAGGTACAACTTGTTGCCGTCACTATCGCTGGTGATGTTGGTCGCCGAGCCCGTGCGCGTTGCCTCGTACTCCGTCTCGCACTCTGATGGGGTCGTCCAATCCTTCGGCGTGAGTCCTCGAAGCCAAAACGCTGCCCACTCGGTCTTCCCTTGCTTGGCTCGGTGCACCAGGTTATCCGTCTTCTTGTAGATGTTGTGGTCGCTCCTGCATTGGCACTCGCCCCAGATGATGTGGAAGTCGTCCGCTACCTCGCCGCACTCGCACATGTTGCAAGTGTCGCTCCCGAACGTGTCCTTCCTCCTCTGTGGTGACCACGTCCCTGCGCATGCTGCCGTGAGGATGGCCCCGAACATCTGGTGCTTCCCGTACTTCCTGAGGCGCCTGAGCTGCATCTTCATGTCATAGGTATCAACTCCGTGCTGTAGTCCTTCGCCGTTGTGGTGAAGGCTGGCTTGCCTCCACCTTGCTTTCTTGAGGTCACTGGTGATGGCGTCGAGGATCACCGTGGGGTCGTCATCTCCTTCGTCTGGTTGTAACTGCCATCCTCCTCCTGCGGCGTCTTCCCAGAAGTCCGCTGTCTTCGCGTCCCAGTTGATCTCCCAAAGCTGCAGGATCAGCGCGCCTATAATGCCCCTCCGCTGTTGCCATCGCGTAGCTTTCGGAGCTTCTAGGAGTCGCGCTCGTATCTTCGGCCATGCTCGTCGTGCTCCAGCTCGCAGGTCTGGGCGGCTGGCCCAGAGGTCGAACCACGCCTGGATCTGGTTCCTGGGTATGGTGATGCCAGGGTCTGCGCCTTCGAGGTCCAGCAGCGTGGTGAGGCATCTTCCTGGCCAGGCTTTCCTTCGTCCTTTCGCGTACCTCCTCCTGATGGCTGTGAGCTCTGTTGGGCTAGCTCCGTAAGCCTTCGTGCCGTGCCCGACCTGGGCCATGGGTCCTTGCTCGATGACCTGTCTTCGGGTACGTGCCTTCTTGAGCTTCTTCGTGATGGCCGCGAACCTTTTAAAACCTTTGCGCCGCCTTGCGCTGTGAGTCGCTCTCCTCGTGCATGTCTTACCTGCTCGATCGAGTCCTAGGTCTCGCCCCTCTGTGGCTCCTCTGATAGTCACACCCAACTTCTTCAGTCTCTGGGTTGCCCTCTTTGTCATGTCGAAGTCCGTGCTGAACAGGACCGATTTGCCCGCCATGGAGAGCCCTTCCGTGTTCAGCGCCTTCGCCAGCTCGTAGGTCGCCTTGACGATGCAGTCCTCCGCCTTGGTGCCGCTTCCTACCGCCCGCAAACCGATGTCGTCGAACCAAGTTCTAGGCTGCACCATTGGAACGAGGCTGGTCATGGACTTCACCACGTGGTAGATGAGAGTTCTCGCTAAGTTGTTGCTGTGTCTGGAACCTGCCAAGAGGCTGCGCTTCGCGTAGATGGGCAGGCTGCACGCATTGCCCTCCTTTAGCATTCTCGGGGCGAGGTGGAGTAGCATCGCCATGGCCAGGACCCTCGGGGGGAAGCCGTACTCCAGCGCCCTTTTCGCCACCTTCTCAAAGACCAGGGAGTTGTAGAACCTCTTCACGTCCACCAAGGCGTTGGCTGAGTGCGCGCCTAGCTCCTGCGAGGTCTCGTCGCCCAATGCCCGCGCCATGGCTTCTCGCAGGCAGGAGTTGCCTGTCACGGCCGCGTCGAAGTCCTCCTCCACCTCCTTGGCCCATCTTCGGATCTGGTTCCTGTTGAGCAACTCCCACGTCCTCGCGAACCATGTAAGTAGTGCCAGCGCTCGGTCTCCTCCTCCTGTGAGCGCCGTCTCGTCTAACCTTTCCGCGTCCTTCGGTTGCAACATGACCATCGCCTGCAAAGTCTGCCATGGCCACGCTACCTCCTCCTCGCACCTGTTGTGCATGTCTATGAATGCTTGTCTACCTCGTTCTGGTAGCCGCTTGACGTCGTCCATGTTCATCATGTCTGTGCCCTTGCCCTTGTTGGGGATGCCGCGGATGGCCTCGTCGAACTCTTCCAAGGTCCATCTCGGGGTGGGCTCCTCCTTTGCCTTGTTCCTGAGCATGTTGATCACCTCCACTGCATCTTCGTGCGACTTCTCGTGGTTCCACATTTCCTCGAAGTCCTCCGCCTTCAGGTCGACACTCTCCTTGGGGTTCGTGGCCTTCCTCCCAGCCTTGATGTACTCGTCCTCATGCCTGCGCTTGGGCTTGGTGATCTTGTGTAGCGCGCCAGGGGCGTTGGCTTCCATGTTGGCCAACCACAGCGCGTACTCCTTCGCTCCTCTTCGCAAGTCCTCCTTCAACGCTATGCGCGCTTCCAGCTTGGCCTGCTGCACCATCCCGTCCAGCACGCTGGTCTCCACCTTGTTGATCTGCCTGATGCGTTGGCTCCAGACTTTGCGGTGTAGCCTGGCCGTCTTGGAGGCCTGTCGTCCCGCTGATGGGACTCCCTCCTGGCCTAGCCTCCTGCAGCACTCCTCAAGCTGGTTGAGCTGGTCCTCTCCCTTTTGCCTGTGTCTAAGCTTCGCGTACGTGTCAAGTGCCGTTGCCATCCTGCTCCACCAGTTCGTTCTCCTGTTGGTGTTGGTGACCCTCCTTGCTCCTGACTCTCTGATTGCCTTCTCCTCGAACTCGAATCCTTCGCCTCTTCCTTTGTACCTCCTCTGGTCCTTCGCGTCGATGTCGTACACGTCGCAGTAGAAGCACTCCATGGTGGTGACGAGGTGGTGGTACTGCTTCCCTAACGAGTTCGCCTGCTTCTCTGTCGCCTGGAACGCAGCCGAGCGGCTGATGTACGCCGGCGCGGCCGCCTTATCAGAGTCGTGCCGCATCTCGTAGTACTTGTCCCACACGCTGTGCATCGCGATGGTGTCAAGCTCCCTCGTCTGCTTCGTGTTGACTGTGACCGCCTCCTCCAAGTCACTGTCGCCTGCGTCGACGTCCTCCCACTGGCTGCTACCTTGCACCTGGCCAGCCGCCTCAGTCCCAGGTTCAGAGCCTTCACCCGTTCCTGAGGCTGCTGGAGGGGCCCTTGCGGCGTGGAGCCTCGGTGGGCTGTCTACCGCTTGGTCCCCTGATAAGAGCCCTTCGAGTTCTGGTGGTAGGAGTTCCTCTTGTGTGATGTACCACTCCTCGGGGTCTTCCTCGATGAGGTCCGCCTCGGGGTTGTCCATGTCTGTTCTGGCTCGTGTTGCGCTTCCGCATCTGCTGGCCTCTGTCACAGGCCTCTGCTCTGGGGCTTCTGGCTCTGGTAGCTCCTCTGTGTCCTGG